AAGGTAAGGGCAAGGTGCGCAGCAAGGCGGCGGCCGTCGAAACGGTTGCTCCTGAAAAGAAAAGGGGTGGGAACAACCCTAAGGATTTCCATGCCCTTATCTCCGTCCTAGGATACGAATGGTTCATGGGGAATGTCGGAGAGTTTGAGAGTCACTTCAGGGCATTCTTGGATGTCAACGCCATGTGGAAATCCCTCAAAATTTGTAGTTCAAAGATTTCCAAGCTTGTCCGGGTGGAGCCTTGCCAGCCCAACGAGCGTGTTTACATGGCGGGTACCCCTAATACCCCTTTTTTTATATGTACGAGTTCTTCTTTAGGGACCTCGGTGTTTGCTTGCCATTCATCGAGTTTGAGTGTGCCTTCCTCTAGTTCGTCAATGTGGCTCCTTGTTAGTTGCACCCTAATAGTTGGGGTTTCTTAAGGGCATTTCAAGTTTTGTGCTCAGCCCTAGGAATGGGTGTGTCTCTGCCTGTCTTCTTGCATTTCTACCAACTGAAGTTGGGTGAACCTCCCCTAGGTTGGCTGTCTTTGAGTGGGAGTAAGGCTGGGGGGTTATTCCAACTTTACTCCCATCGTATAAAAATTTTAAAAAAGAGTTTTTCTGGATCTGTCCTACGGTTGTCGATCCGAGGGAGGAGGTGGTTTTCCATAGTGAAGTGGAACTGAGGTTCCCTTTCTTTTGGCAACGAAGCCCAGTCAAGTTCAATGGGTCGAGTTGTCTTTAATTGTCAGATTTGGACAAGGAAGACATCGTCAAATTGGTCGAGCTTCCATGCCCACTGGACAGCAAACTCGTCCTGTCCCTTGCCAATTTGACTGATAAACAAAGGGGTTTAGAGAGTGAGTACTTCATTTTTGTTTTTCCCTTTGTCCCTTCTCTTTTTTTTGTTGTTGTTTCTTGTAGTGTTCTAATGTGTTGTGCTGCTTTATGTGTGCAAGTCTGATGGGGAAGAGTAAATGGCGTGAGTTAAAGGCCAAATTCAACACGTAGGAGCTCGAGGTACCCGAGCCTGGCGAAGAGGTGCCTGGCGAGGAGGTTGCCCCGTTGGAGACTCGCTGTAAGAGGAAGAGAGCAAGGCAAGAGGTCGGTGAGGCTTCAGGTGCCCCTGCTGCTGAGGAGGTGACGTCTAAAGCTATTGATGCCACCCCCATTGATTTGACCGAGAGTCCTCGGGCTGAGACTTCTCAGAGAGAGCCTGTGGTGGAGGCTACTCCGAGGGGACAGGTTCTTGCCTCACTCTTCCTTAGTATTGTCCTTCTTGTGTTACTCTTGTGCTTGTAACTTAGGGATTTATGTTGATTTTGTTGCAGGTGGGTCCGATGCCTTCCTCTGCCGAGGTTTGCGGAGAAGGCCCCCGTTTGGCGATGCCGGGACCGGCTCCTTCCGCCACTACGCCCACTCCCCTAGGTGCTCCGAGACCGAGGTGCATCATGCAACGCTACGATGTCAAACGTCCGATGTCAAGGCTGGATCACATAAGTGTATCCCCGGATGTGATGTCGCTGTGGAGCTCGAGCATAACCACTGGGGAGTTTTTTAAAGAGGACCCGACCTTCGTCGTTGACAGGGCGATGATAGAGAAATTTGGCCTGGTGGAAGGCTTAGACTCTGTGGAGGTCTTTATGCAGAGGTCCATTGCTATAGTGGAACACTGGAGGCACAAGTGGTCGAGGCTTCAGGGCGAGCTGAAGAAGGCGAAGAAGAGCGAAGCTAAGCTCCAAGCTTTGAGGAGAGATCTTTCGAAGACTCAGAAGTCTTTGGAGATTGCCCTGGAGGCCAATGAGGCGTACACCACCGAAGTTGGTAGCCTGCAAGAGGTTGCTAAGGTCTGCAAGGCTGATGCGGAGATCGCACAAAGCCGGGCCCTGTCCTTGGATGAGGAGAACCGGGCCTTGAAGGCTGAGTTAGGGGAGGCTGCGGAGAAGCGTCTATACAACGAGGTGCTCCTAGCTGGTAGGGAGGAGGAGATCGGGGCCTTGAGGACTGATATTGATGCGCTGACCACCTCGAAGAAGACTTTGGAGGATAAGCTTCTTGAGACCGAGCGCACCGTTGAGGTTGAGCATCGGTGGGGCTTTGCCAAGGCAGTGCGTCAGGCTAAGTTGCTTGCGCCAGGGATCGACTTCTCTACTATGCACATAGAAAAGGATGTGCGGGGTGGGCAGCTGGTGAACGAAGATGACTTGTCTGAGAGTACAAGTGATAATGCGGCCTCTTAGGCCTTTTCTTCTTGTTTCCCTGTAATTAATTTAGTTTACAGTTTTTATGTATGAACTCTCCGTTTTATATATTTGCATTTCTCCTTCGTTTGCATCAATTTGGTGCTAATTGCTTTGATCTTGATTCTGCGCTCTTTGACTCGAACCGATGTTCCTTCAAGGTTGAAACTTTGGCCTTGGATTGTATGCTAAGAATCAACCTCGGCTTTTGGCTCAATTTTGACTTGTTTATGAGGTCCGAACTTGGTCTTTGAGGTTCATACTTGGCCTCTATTTTGTGTTTTAAGGCTCATGTTTGGCCCTTGAGGTTCAAAACTTGACTTTTAGTTTTCATTTTAAGGCTCAAACTAGGCCTGTGAAGGTTCAAACTTGACCTTTTTTGCTTTTCTAAGGTTCAAACTCGACCCTTAATATAATTTGCGCAAAGTTCTGAATGTGACCTTGATTTAAAATGAATCGTGCCAAGGTTCGAATTTGACCTTGGCTTAATATAAATCATGCCAAAGTTTGAATTCGACCTTGGCTTAATATAAATCGTGTCAGGGTTCGAATTTGACCTTGGCTTAATATAAATCGTGCCAAGGTTCGAATTCAACCTTGGCTTAATGTAAATCGTGTCAAGGTTCAAATTCGACCTTGGCTTAATATAAACTGTACCACCTTGGCTTAATATAAATCGTGCCAAGGTTCGAATTTGACCTTGACTTAATATAAATCGTACCAAGGTTCGAATTCGACCTTGGCTTAATATAAATCGTGCCAAGGTTCGAATTCGACCTTGGCTTAATATAAATCGTGCTAAGATTCGAATTCGACCTTGGCTTAATGTAAATCGAGCCAAGGTTCAAATTTGACCTTGGCTTAATGTAAATCGTACCAAGACAGTGCTAAATTAAAGAAATATGAATAAAAGTAAGTTGCTTTTATTGATGCTGTGGGTGTGCCTCATTAAAAACCCTCTCAGCCAAAACCCATTTTTCTATTTTTTGGGACAAAAGACTGAGTAGGGAAAAGAGTGCACATCCCATTTATACAATTCAGCTAAAATAGAACTTGAGATGAGTGGCATTCCAAGTTCGCGGGATGGTCTTGCTGTCGATCTCTTCTAGTCGGTATGCTTTGTTTTCTAAGTCTTCTATGAATCTGAACGGTTCATCCCAATTAGGTGCGAGTTT